AAGGTTCATTCCTCAACCTTACCTATTCTGAATCTATTTTTATATAGTACATTGGCTTTTGGTGTAGAAGTCTCTGGAGCACCACACAAAGTGACAATTCCAGAATACTTTGTCCTTGGGGAGAGTTCAGAAGCAAAGCAATGAGAGGGTTTGTAAGAAATATAGAAGGGGGTAACACCTTATTTGATTCAGCCAACAGACTTTTGGGGAGATTCTATTGCCTCATCTATTGTTTTTAGAATTATAATTTGGATGTGAGATTGCCATTTGTGAATCACTATAATAGCTATTTTAATTTAAAAATTAAGTTGGACTCTTTTTTATAGAAAGCCAGATTTGATGGTTTGACACTGTGGAGTGGTGTGCCAAATGAGTTGTATAGTAGACATTTTCCATATATATTCCATGTATAAGCTAAATATGAAGTTCCAAGATCTGATGAAAATATATCAGGCAGGTGTGGTGGCTCAAGCCTGTAATCACAGCACTTTTGGTGGCCAAGGTGGGGTGGATCGCTTGAGCAGGAGTTTGAGATCAGCCTGGGCAACATGGTGAAACCTCATCTCTGCCAAAAATACAAAAAATTAGCCAGGCATGGTGGTGAGTGCCTGTGGTCCCAGCTACTTGGGAGGCTGAGGTAGGAGGATCTCTTGAGCCTGGGAGGTGGAGGTTGGAGTAAGCCAAGATCTGCCACTGCACTCCAGCCTTGACAAGAAAGCCAGACCCCATCTGAAATATATATACATATATACATATATATATATATATACACACATACACATATATATATACACACACATACATATATATATAAATATATATATCACTTTTAAAATGTACATGTACAATACACAATATATCTGAAGATGCATCCTAACCATTTAAACTTTATGTTATTTTAATTTTCAATTTTTGTTTTGTAGAGATGTGGTCTTACTCTGTCACTCAGGTTAGAGCGCAGTGGCACAGTCATAACTCACTGGAGCCTTGAACTCATGGGCTCAAGGGATCCTCCTGCTTGAGCCACCTGAGTAGCTGGGACTACAGGTGCACACCACCTCACCCATTTAATTTTTAAATTTTTTTTTTTTTTTTTTTTGTAGAGATAGGGTCATACCACCTTGCCTAGTATAGTCTCAAACCCCTGGGCTTAAACAATCCTCTTGCCTTGGCCTCCCAAAGTGCTGGGATTACAGGCATGAGCCACCATGCCTTGGTCAAAACTTAAATGTTAATTTAAAAATGTGTGAGAAGTATATGGTTTTAGAGATTTATTTTAGATTAGAGACAAAATACTTGTAGCTCTCTGGATATATGGCAAAGGCAAGTATACTTGGTTATTGGTATATCTACATTTGAGAGCTGCTTCTGGTATCCACTTAGTGTTAATCTCTTGGTGTCAAGGATACTGTTTAGCACATGATGTGCTCATCAATAGTTAAGCTTCTTATCAGCAGATAAGGTGAGTGCCAAGTTAAATAGATTTCCTTTGGTATATATAAAGAAGATTAATAATAGCATCTATAATGAATTCTAATCATAATAGGAGACTATACAACAGTTTAAGATATGAAAAATTCATGATATCACCAAAACTGCAGGATGGTAAAACAGACTGTAGATACAGGAGCACAAAGGAAATGGAATGCAGGCAAGACATGTAAGATGGGTTAGACATTGGTCATTAATTTCTTTATCCCTTAAAAATGGAATACCCAGTTAAAACCTCATCCAGTTTCTTTTCAAGCATTCCTAACATAAAACTTTAATTTCATTTGTAAGCAAAAAGTAAATGAACAATGAAAGAATGTTTTTTGAAGTTAAAATAAAAGTGCAGTAATAATACTTATTTTAAGTTAAAATCCATTAAATAGGACACTGGATTTTTTTCTTTTCTTTTTTTTTTTTTTTTGNCATCTGTGGACACAAGTTTTCATTTCTTTTGAGCATATACCTACTTGTAGAAGTGATTTAATGGTAACTTTATGTTCAACTTTTTAAGAAACTGCCAAACTGTGCAAAGCAACGACATGGTTTTCTCTCCCACAAACAGTGTACAAGGGTTCCAATTACTCCACATACTCCCCAATATTTTTTTTTTTTTTTTTTGATGGAGTATCACTCTGTTGCTCAGACTGGAGTGCAGTGGTACAATCTTGGCTCATGGCAACTTCCACCTCCTGGGCTCAAGCGATTCTTCTGCCTCAGCCTCCTAAGTAGTTGGGATTACAGCTGCCCACCACGATGCTCAGCTAATTTTTAAATTTTTGGTAGAAACAAGGTTTCACCACGTTGGCGGCTAGTCTCAAACTTCTAACCTCAGGTGATCTGCCCACCTCAGCCTCCCAAAGTGCTGGGTTTACAGGCATGAGCCACAACTTCCGGCCAAATGTCTTCTGTTTCTAAGTCCTTTGCAGTAAGTATATTAGAATACTGGTGAATCTCACTTAGTCCAAACAGACTTTCTATGTATTTCCTATTGCTAGAAGAAGCCCCAGATCTATACTTCCTATAGTTTTCAGCTTTTTAATTGGCCCCACTATCCACTTTGTCATCTAAACCAGAAAGGTAGGGATCATTTCAAGTTTCTTTCCTTTGCCAAATTTATTTGATTTTTTTCATTTCTGCTCTATCTATGTAAACTACTGATGCTGTCTTTTTTAGCTTCTTATCTTCTGTCAGCTAGACTAAGGCCAATCTTCTAATTGATCTCTCTGCTTCAGTTTTGGCCTGCGAATCACATCCTTCACACATCTCCTTTATGATGCATTCTTTGGGTGCCTCATGTGAATTAACCACTCACATTTTTGTGCCACACTGGATTCTTTAGACAGTCAGTCTAGTACTCTTAAAAATTTATTATTACTAATTGATTAGATCTGTTTAATTGATCTCAACTACTGTAGGTTTCTATGTTTTTGGCACATAATAAGTCAGTGAATTAATGGAGGCAAGAAGTCTAGTGTACTTACCATAAACATGCTATTCTGGGATAAGTATTGCATTTTATTCCAGCTCTTTGTTGTAGCTCGGCACTGTGATAATGTTTTCTGGAAGATGGCAATCCAAACTTGTGGATGAATTAAAAAGATAAACTCTACTAACAGAATTTAATTGTTGTTATTCTAGGAAAAAAGTAGATAATCCCTGAGAGAGAATATTGTGGTGGTGTGAAAGAGAGATATTTTTGGATTGATTAGAGAAGGTAGTCAAGAAGAGAGAGGCAAGTGATGGTGGTTTAACTACACAAAATATAGAGCACTGTTATAGATGGAGGGATCTATAGTAAGAGAAAGATTGAATACCGCTATCTAGAGAAGGATTCTGAGGGGAAACTAACATTAGTTTCCTAGAGACTGGGGAGCTAATCATGGAAAGTTATATACAGAATAGTTATTGGCAGATGATTTTGCCACATATAATCTGAAATGGTGCCATGACAATCAAGAGGAAATATCAGAGGGGGAAATAATGATAGATTCAATGATATAAGTGATAATGAGAAGGTAGATTTGGGAGTAATACTTAAAGTAAATTGATCTTGTGGAGGGGTAGGGTGACTGGTTATTAGAAGTGGTAAGATAGTAAGGATGGCCATAAGGATGTGATTATATTATTAAATTTTTAATGAATATTTCTGGGCATACTTCACATTACCATTGGAATTCCCAGGTCTAGTAATTATGACCTAAATAATTAACTGATCATTGAAATCTTAGAGAAAAGAGATATAAAATCAACAAAGACACTGATGTTATATAGAGGCAGTGCTATCAAATGGCCATAGTGCAAGATCTGAAGTGAATCAAGATGTCATTTTTATTTTTAATTTTATTTTATTTTAAGTTTCAGGATACATGTACAGGATGTGCAGGTTTGTTTCATAGGTAAATGTGTGCCATAGTGGTTTGCTGCACCTATCAGCCCATCACCTAGGTATTAAGCCCAGCATGCATTAGCTATTTTTCCTGATGTGTTACATCCCTACCCCTTCCCCTGGCCCCCACCAACAGGCCTCAGTGTGTGTTCCCCTCCCTATGTCCACGTGTTCTCATTGTTCAGTTCTGAAAGATATGGGATTTTAAGATGGGACTAAGCGACTGAGACTGAGTGATTTTCTTTCCTCTGAGTCACAGATGTTGTACTATCACCCATATTTCAAAGAAACAGTGATATTTCAAAACACATGATTTTGGTTTTTAATTCTTGTAAGTTCTTGTAATATACCAGCCATTATTATTGCATTATCACTTTTACTGTTATCATTATTTTATGTTAAAGAAAAGAAACAATTGAGTTTACTTTCTAGTTTATTTAAATGTCCTTTTGACCAAAATATGTATTTTCTCATTTTATTTTCCACACTTAACATATTGGGAAACAGTGACCCCAAATTACCAATGGTGATCAATAATATTTTATCTTTAATGACTTTAAAAAGTTTTGCTTTTTAGTTATATAAAATTTAAAAGACTTCTAAATAATTGAGACAGAGATAAACTTCAGAAGCAATATGTATAATTCATTTAAAATTACATTTTATCTACTTTTGATAGTATATGATGAAATGCATAAACATTGATACTATGTTTTTTTTTATTTGTCTTTGTATATAAAAGCTTTTTTCTTAAACATTTCTCAGTTTTTGAGTTCAGTGTTTAGCTGATTTTGTTTGTAGAAAGAGTATTTTTTTTTCCTGATGTTTGGATATTTGCTTTTATGGAAATTATTTTGTTTATATATCTTAATATAGTCTATTATGTAGCATGCTTTTGCTTGAATTGAATAAAATGTATGGAAAAATTTCTTTCCTAAAATTTTTTGTTTAAAATCTAAAATTTTAGATTTTAGTCAAAATGTAATTTAGAAATTTTCAGAATTTTAATTTCACTTAAAAAACTTTTAAAACTCTTATTTGTTTTAAGAATGGAATTAATTATTTCTTTTTTGTTTTGTCTTTTCTGTCTTTTCTAACTTGCTTTCGTGGATATTCACTCCAGGAGGACAAAGTGGTTAGAGTTCTTTTTTCTGTCTAATATTAGTTTTTCCTTATTGTTGTTATTGCCAGTTTTAATTTTATAGCTATATTTAATTTATATACTTCTCAGTGTTTTAAGTATGATGCATGATAATTGCTAAGCATTATGGCATATTTAAGCATGCTATCTGCTTTTACTGAAAAACTTACATTAAATTATTTATACTTTATATATTATCGATGAAAAATTGATAATTTGATTTTTAAAGAGGCTTGCCTTTTTAGAATTTAGCATTTTTCTCAAGGAGACCTCATAGCATTCCTCATTGTGATAAAATTTCTATAATCTTCTGTTATGCTAAAGTCATCATTGTACTGATAAGGTTTTAAAATCTTATCTTTCTGACTTAGTATAAAGATTAACTGTTGTAATAATGAAGTAATAACACTGAATATGAATATTCTGAAGTATGTATTTGACAGTTGATGTAAGTATTTAATGTATTTTATTTTTCTTATATGTTTAGAATTTGGTAAAACATCTATCTTATTATCTTCATGTTAAATATTGGATGTGTTTATAATTTAAAAATAGGTAGATAAAGCTAAACTACAGACTAGGTTTTAATCATCTGCTAGTGTGTGCCCTTAGTGATTTGATTTGAATTTGGGTCTGTCATGGAGACTGATGACTCCCTGCAAATATAGATAAATATTTTATCTCATTCTTTAGATGAGTCAGATTTAAACTTGAGGACTTTTCAAGTTTTCCAATTTCAAATTGGCATAAAACTCAAAGAGAGTATCATTCAGCTGATAGTTTCTAAATATTGCCTTTTTCTTTCTTTCTTTCTTTACCTTTTTTTAACCAGTTGGAGCTTTCTTCTTCTCCTCCAAGTCTTTAGTTACTCAGTTGGGGATGATGTAGATGGTGACAAATGTTGTATATGGGTTTAGAATAAAATTTCTGAATGGAAGAAAGATTACTGCTAGTTCTTTCTTTTTCTTGCCTTTAAAAAAAAATACCTATAGGAATTCTACCAAACTTTAGATGCGGTTTTGAAGATATATGGGTGAATTTATGTAGACATGTCCCAGACTGTGTGTCATCCTTGATCTGGGACAGTTTCCCTAGAGAACCTATAAGCTATCTACCAGCCCACCTGATTTTCTGACTCACAAGTAGCATAATTCAGGCAATTTATAACCTTTAGAATCTCTGGTGCTACTTTTGTGTCCAGAGTTAATGCAGGATGCGTAATGGTCTAATTATTGTTTGTGGTTTCCATGGTGAATTCTGACACCTGTCCCAGAAATGAGACACTTAATGATGATAACTCAGCTTTAGAAATGACTTTTATGCATTGATAAGCTTTCAAGATTTAACAGTCTGTATTTTAAACTAAAGATTGACTGCAAGATAAAAGTATAATTTTGTGTGGATTTGGAACATTGCAAATAAAATTCAACAGGCCTTTTTATAACACTTTTTGTGCATCACTGTTCAATAGAACTTTCATCAATGATGAAAATGTTTTATATCTTCATTATCCAATTCAGTAAATTCTAGCCACATATAGCTATTGAACACTTGAAAAGTAGCTAGTTGACTAAAAAATGGAATTTTAATTTCTTTAATTTTAATTAATTTAAATTTAAATAACCACCTGTGGCTAATGGTTAAAGTAACCCTAAGTCTAGATAGCAAATTCTATGAGTTTTCAACTTCTAAGGCAATATACAAGCCCTTGAACTCATACTAGCAATATGGTGTATATTCTAACAGTGGATGTGAAAGCCATACAGTCTCTAAGAAGAGTATACTTGCTAGTACTAATCATATCTAATGCCAAGGAGGATAATGGGCAAGGGACATCCTCCCAAGGTAGAATCAAGTGATATGAAAGACAGTCATCAAGGGAAAATATCTAGATAGCTCAATCAGGGGCAGCCAGGTAGGCTAACCAATGAAACTAAGCTATTGTTCATATAGGGATTGCTGTGTTCTATGGACAGTTGTCACTCTTTGTTTATTATTGTTCATATTTCTGAGTGAGAGTTCTTATTACAGTTTCTCTGTTTTTTTTCCTCAATCATTGTGTAATTGGGAACAGCTATAATTTGTCTTCTAGTGTATAGGTGAGTGGTTCATAATGATGCACACTGGGCCACGATCAGAAGATTTGTTTTTTCTCAGATATCCTGGATTTGGAATCAGATTTTATGACTAGATGAAACTTTGGGATTACCTCCTTTAGGGAGAAGGTGAATGTATTACATGTAAAATATATGTATGGAATGTTGAGTAGTTGAAAAAGGAGACTGTTGTCAACTCTGCCCGATGGCTCAACAGACTTTTTTTTTTTTGGTGGCGGGAGTCTCACTTGCTTTGTTGCCCTGGCCGGAGTGCTGTGGTGTGATCTCAGCTCACTGCAACCTCCACCTGCTGTATTCAAGTGATTCTCCTGTCTCAGCCTCCAGAATAGCTGGGATTACAGGCGTCCGCCACCGCCACCACCCCGTCGGGTACTTTTTTTTTTTTTAAATGTTTTTAGAAGAGACAAGTTTCACCACGTTGGCCTGGCTGATCTCAAATGCCTTGGCCTCTCAAAGTGCTGGGGTTACAGGCGTGAGCCACCACACCCCTCCTCCAACAGATTTTTTAAACTTCCTTCTCTTTTGCAATCTCCACTAGATAGACTGGAAAAATATAAAACATTCTTAGCTTTCCTTGTAACTGGGAATGGCTGTGTGACACAGTTCTAGCAAATGAGTTTTAAGAAAGTATTTGAGAGCTGCTGGGAGGTCATGATTTTTAAAAAAGATGTAGCTGACACAACCTTTTAGTGCAAAAGTAATGCTTTGACTTGACCAGCCATTTGTGATAATGAAGGAAAGGCCAAGAGCACTGGAGTCATTAGTCATGACATTGTTGAGCCAGTGAGTTAATGTCATCAGATATTTCCCCAATGTGAGAAAAATATTGCCTCCCCAAATTTGTTTCTGTCACCAGTAGTCAATATTTTTTTGCCTCTTATACCCAAAAACACTCCTAATGGAAACACTAGTAAGATATAGAGTGCAGCAGGGAAACCATAAAAACATCTAGAGTTGATTTTCTGTAGAAATGCAGAAGTACAATAAAGGAAGTACATGTGATCATTGCCCAGTTCTCATCTATGTATTTTTGCCTCTATAAATGTTTTAAGAAGTAGGATCATTTAACACATTTTCTCATTTATTGCATATAAATAACCCCAGGTTGTTAGTAGTAAATTATTATGAATATGTTGGTCTTCGAGATTAAATTTTTCCTCAGTTATAAATTTATTCTATTTTACATAGGATCAAAACAAAGAGAATTGAAAAATTTTAAACATAATTTTATATTTCCTAGATCTTTTGGAATGCCTAGGGCAAATAAGTAAACTTACGCTCTATTGTAAATTATTGTCTCACAGGCCAGAATATATATCTAACTGTTTATCTATTACTAAATACTGATATAGGCATGTCTAGTGAGAACAACATGAAATTAAAGTTTTGGAACAAAATTAAGCTCATTTCACTTTCTAGAGGCAATTTATCATCTGTTTACAGAAAGACTACTTTAATGTGGTTATTAAATTTTTCCTTTTTCTCTTTTTACAACAGTTACTAGTTTTCTTAGGATATTAGTATCTCTTGAAACCATATTAGATAAAAATTTCACTTGTTATTAACAGGTCATTAACTTTTATTATACAAGAATAATGTTACTAATGGTCATTGTTACTGAAATGAAGGATGTGGAAGGGAAGCATACAGTTTATCTCTTGGTTTGCAGCTGCAGCTATGATATTCAGAGGAAGGTGCTCTGTGTTTTCAGTGTAATCTGATACCTTTTCTAATTTAAGCACATTATACCTTCATAATTTAAGCACCTAGGCCTTCATAACCTATGTAGTCTTCTAGCTGCTCTTTGTTATATTCTCATACAGAGTTGCAGTTTAGCATATACTTAAAAGTATTTTTCAAATTATATCATTTTTGATTATTCCATTTCATCTGAGCAGTGGCCGTGTGGAGCCTTATTCTAGTAAATACTGACTTAACAGTGGTAGATTAATTTATTTGCATTTGCGCTTCTGTTTATTAATACAGTAACATGTAAATGACCTTAACAAAATTGTTCTAGAAACTGAATATAACAGTCTGTCACAGCAAATTCTTATCATAAAATCACAAGTTTATATATTACTATACCATTAGACCTATTGTGTTGTAAACCTGACAAAGACCAGCATTCTTACGTTGTTTAACTGGGAAACAAGACAAACATCCAGAGTATTTTTGTTAGCAACATAGAAGTATTTTGGACTGTATTATTTAGACATCATACTATCAATAAGAATATAGGAAAAAATGAGTCTAGATGGCTGGAAGAGTTTTGAGTAATTTAAAAGGCAGAGAGAGGCTATTGACTATTTGTTTGAATATATTATACATTCTAAGTTTAGAAAAAAATTCATAATTTAAAAAACCATCTGATTGCATATTTAGAATAAATGCACAAATGAACTTAAAAATCTGATTTAGGTTTGATATGGTTCGGCTTTGTATCCTTGCACAAATCTTATGTTCAGTTGTAATTCCCAGTGTTGGAGATGGGCCTTGGTGAGAGGTGATTGGATCATGGGGGTGGATCCTTTATGAATGGTTTAGCACTGTCCCTTTGGTGCTGTTCTCCAGATAGAGTTCGTACAAGATCTGATTATTTTTAAGTGTATAAAACCTCCCCACCCCTCTCTTTTGCTCCTGCTCTGGCCATGTAGTATATGCTGGCTTCCCCTTTGCCTTCCACCATAATTGCATATTTCCTGAGACCTCCTTAGAAGCCAAGCAGATACCAGAATCATGCTTCCTGTACAGCCTGAGAAACTGTAAGCCAATTAAACCTCTTTTCTTAATAAATTCTGCAATCTCAGGTATTTCTTTATAGCAATGTGAGAATGGACGAACACAGGTTTCCTATAAAAACAGATTAAAAATTCA